ATTCGCCTGACACTAGATGTGACCTTTGGTGCTGTGGACCTCTACGTCTCCACTTCCTACGACACCTTTGTGGTCCGAGTGGCCCCTGATACGGGTGTCCACACTGTGCATATCCAGCCGCCTCCACCTCCCCCACCTCCCCCTCCTCCCGCTGATGGTGGACCCCGGGTGGCCGGGGACCTAGGAGGACTAGGGACTGGAAATGGTCCAGGCACTCCAGTGGAGCCACGAGTCCGGGAGGTGTGGCCCCGGGGCCTGATTACCTATGTGACAGTGACAGAGCCGTCGGCAGTGCTGGTGGTCCGCAGTGTGCGGGACAGGCTGGTGATCACCTATCCCCACGAGCACCATGCCCTCAAATCAAGCCGCTTCTACCTGCTGCTGCTGGGCGTGGGAGATCCCAGTGGGCCTGGTGCCAACGGCTCGGCGGACTCACAGGGCCTGCTTTTCTTCCGGCAAGACCAGGCCCACATTGACTTGTTTGTCTTCTTCTCCGTCTTCTTCTCTTGCTTCTTCCTTTTCCTCTCACTCTGTGTCCTCCTCTGGAAGGCCAAGCAGGCCCTGGACCAGCGACAAGAGCAGCGCCGGCACCTGCAGGAGATGACCAAGATGGCCAGCCGCCCCTTTGCCAAGGTCACTGTCTGCTTCCCTCCAGAGCCTACTGGCCCAGCCCCTCCTTGGAAGCCGGCTGGGCTCCCACCTCCTGCCTTCCGCCGCTCTGAGCCTTTCCTAGCACCTCTATTGCTGACAGGAGCTGGGGGGCCCTGGGGACCCATGGGAGGGGGGTGCTGCCCACCAGGCCTCCCTGCCACCACAGCTGGCCTACGAGCTGGACCCATCACCCTTGAACCCACAGAAGATGGCATGGCTGGTGTGGCCACTCTGTTGCTTCAGCTGCCTGGGGGGCCTCATGCTCCCAATGGGGCCTGTCTTGGGTCAGCCCTTGTCACGCTGCGGCATAGGCTGCATGAGTACTGTGGGGGCAGCGGGGGTGCAGGAGGCAGTGGACATGGGGGTGGTGGTGGCCGAAAGGGACTGTTGAGCCAGGACAATCTCACTAGCATGTCCCTCTGACTGGTCAAGAGTCCCCTAAGTCACCTGCTGACTTTGGACAGTCCTCAGACACCACTGGCTCCCTTTCCCCAGGTTCCCTTTGTTCTGCATTTAGCAACTATTTATTGAGCTGCTACTCTGTGCCTGGTTCAGTTGTAGGCACAGAGCAAAGCAAGAGGCGAGAGGAACGTCCCTGAATTGATGGGACTTGGGGTCTTGGAAGGGGACACACACGTGCGCGCGCGCGCGCACACACACACACACACACACACACACACACGCGCAGAGAAGCGTCTTGACATTAGCAAGGTCTAACACTGAGGGATTGTGGATTAAAATTAGGTGTTTGGAGAAACGAGGCTGGGAAAGGTGGCAGACTGAGGGAAATGATTCAGAGTTAAGGAAGCTATAAGGCTTCTGAAGGCCCCGAGCCTGGAACCAGTTTGTTAGAAGAACCAGAAACCTGGCCACTGCAACCCAGATCAGGTGTAAGATGAGGTTGGGGACAGGCAGGACCTGGGGTTGTATTCTTGGGAAGCTGTTGGGCAATTCTGTGGTGGGGAACGAGGAGTCATGCCTGTTCAAGAAGAGGGGGCTGGAGGGGACTGGAGAGGCTGCAGGTGGTCGCAGTGGCAGGAGGAGGGTGAGTAAGGAGCAGATGCAGGAGGAGTGACAGGATGTGGCAGTGTGCAGATGTTAGGGTGAGGAAGGGGACACATCTAGACGGCCACTTCATGGCCTGGGCATGGCCAGGGTGGAGTGAGGCCATTACTAAGAAGGGGCAGGCTGGGGCTTGTGGGAAAAACAGCAGAGTCTGGTTTGGGCTTGAGTCAGGTCTGACTGGGGACTTACCCAGAAAGCCCTTTGAGTGTTTCTACAGGAGGGATCCAGGGTCGTGAGTTGTGGTGCTGGCAAAAGCCGGCAGCTACTGAGAAGACACAGGACAGTGTCTTGTGTGTTGGAATTGGAACCGTGAGCTGCTGTGCCTTCCCTGGGCTGGAGGGACAGAGTTCAGTGGTGTCTGAGACCAGGGTCACCAGCTGAAGCTGCGAATTCAGGCTTGTTTCAAGGGAGCCTCAGAGGAAAGCCCTTCCTCGAGATGCCTCACAACCTGCTCTAGCAAGTGTGGGGTGACAGTGGGGGGTGGGGGACCCTGGGGGGGCCACCCCACCCGGACTTCCTTCTTGGATGGAGATGCTCTTCTAACCCTTGAGGACTCCCTTCCCCCGTCCTAGGCAGCTCCCTGAGCTTGGGACTCTTGCTTTCCCAAGACTTGGACTTCTACGTGCTGTTTTGGTCCTGGGGTGGGTTATCCCAGTCTGAGAGGCCCTGCTGCTGCTGTGTGCGTGTCAGAGGGCAGGGACCACATGGCATCCACAGGAGAGCAGCTGGAGCAGCAAATAAAGCGTGGGGAAGACGCAGGTGTCTTGGGTGCCTCTTGTGTGCACGGGAGGGAGGGCTGAGCTCCGGGTGAGTGGCGCAGGTGTCCTTGTCCTGGTTCCACCTCAGAGTCATGTGTCCTGAGACTGGCTTTGGCATTGGAAGTGTACCACAATGGGATCTCTTGCTCCCCAGAAGAGAGGCGAGGAGACAATGGGCAGGGACGTCTCTGACCTTTTCTTTGTCCCTGCCAGAGTTTGACTCAGGGAGAAACAGACAGCCTGTGTCCAGGCATTGGCATTAGACAGAAAAGCTGGGGTACAGAACACACAAACCATTCTCTTTCATCTGAGGAGCTGAGATGGAGAACTGGTAGAGCTGGGAGGGCACTCGGCAGTGTGGTAACTGGGTACACATGGGCACTCTCTGAAACACACTCAATACCGAGGCTGAAAAGCATCGTGTTTAACCATCTTAGCCCTCGGCCCCAGGCTGTGCCAACGCCTCGATGTCAGGGCGGGTGTGGACCTGAGATCTCCGCCCTCAGCATGGATCTTCTGCTGCAAGTGCTTTGCAGTACACCTTCCCTGTATGCTCGCCCCAACACCGGTCACTTGCTTCAGTGCAGACAAGGACGTGGCAGGTTGGACTTGAGAGAGACTGAAGTTTCCCGTGTGACAACATGGGATTTCAGGCATCACTGGCTCCATGAGTTTTGCCTTTATAAGTTGATGGTGGCTCCTACCCTTTAAGATGTGAACATAAACCTGGCTTTTTAAAAAAGACTTATTTGTGTGTTTGTATATGTGCATGTGAGTTTGGGTGCCCGAGTAGGCCAGAAGAGGGCGTCAGATCCCCTGGAAGTAGAGTTACAGGCAGTTGTGAGCTGTCCTGTAGGTGCTGTGAATCAAACTCAACTCCTCCCTAACAGCAGCCAGTGCTCTTAACTACTGAGTCATCCCTCCAGCTTCCATAATAGGTTTTGTTTTTTGTTTTTCAAATTAGGAACTGCTAACCTCAGAGGAGAAAATGGGCTCAGAAAGGTTTACAAACTCACTAATATAACAGAGAAGTGGCAAGGTCAAAACTGGACACCCCTCCCCCGCACATGTTCAGTTAGTTCTTTTGCAGTAAATGTCATCATACAAAGTCAGTGAGTTAAGGAGGTGGTCATGAACTTCAGTATGATGGGCTACCCTTGACAGGGTTTCCCCCAAAGGCCCATCTTGTCTGGAGGCTGATTGGAGAACAGGCTATGGGGACTCAGCATCGTCTCTGGCTCTTGGCATGTGTGCAGGTGCAAAACCCATACACATAAGTTTTTTTTTTACACATAAAATTTTAAACTTTTTTTTTCAGTTTCCCATCCAGTGCAAAAACTTTATTCTACGATTCTTGGAAGACTCAAATAGTTTCTGCCCGAGTGAAAACTGCAATTTACTGATGTTGATGATTAATTTTGAAACTACCTTAGTGCTATTTTATCACATTAAGCATCACACAAAGCTGAAAGGTGGTTGCCAGCACACAGTTTATAGACAGACACAGAATATCTGGTGTCACATAGCTGGTTCAAAAGATGATAATTTAAAGGAAAAAGGCCAAGTAACTTATAAAGCTTTAAAAACCCTGACTGCTCTTTGGATTGGAGAGGGAGGGGGAGAGGAGTGGGGGGAGGGGG